ACACTTGGGTTTTACATGTACAGACTCCTACATGGGATCTCCAACACAAAACAGGGGTTTCAATCCTAAAAAGCTGGTGGGGGATGGAAGAGGGACAAAGCAGCCAGTTCAAACTGGGGTGGTCGTGTCCCTGTTGAAACGCCCTGCTGTGACATTAATTTCTATTAAAAATAGAAATTAAAAATGAAATATAATACAAAAGTGGTTTATTATATGTATATAGGTATTAGTCCCAGAGGAAATTAAAAAAATAAATATTATCTAATATTGTCATAGTCGTGATTGGACACCTTTTACATGTAATAAAACACCATCCTAATTGGACATAGTAGTAAACCTGTATAAGTGTTATAAGATACATGTACCAGTACAATAACAATTGCAATAAATGACAGAATATTACATTCCATGGACGGGACAAAAAACAACAAACAACAAATGCTCCAAGAATGTGACATAATGTTCCAAGTCCTTCTGAAACTGGAGAACAAGTGTTAGAATATGAAGAGTAATATACACTTGATGTAAACAAGGGGGAGGGGGAAAAGGAAAAGAAAGAGCAGAAGAAAAAGAAAAACAACAGAGAGCCAAATCTGTACACATTTATGTACACTGGAATGGAATAGTAATATAGGTTATTATGATGTTAATATTAGATCCAAATTTGAGTATTTAATCAAATTAAGCCTGTGAGGTCTATATCGATGTTAAGACCTTCTTTTCTATTTAACTGCATGGATCTATTTCCTCCTCTCCAGTTTTTTTTCGACTCTATCTATCCCAATTGCTATGAAATGATCCCATGAGAAAGAAGGACATGAATTGCAGTGTTTAGGAACACTGTGATCTATTTTGTTATTTCGTATGTTGTAAAAATATATATTTAAACAGAAGAGGCTAAGGAACAATTTCATCGCAGCCCTGACGAAGTCCTGCGGACGAAACGCGTCGGATTGACAGTTTGGGACTTACAGTGCTATATTCCTATGTTCCACTTGTTAGTGGATTTATGCTGCTTTTAACTGGATTTTTTGTAAGTGTAATTGTAATAAATATCTTTTATATTTGGTGATATCTGCACTATTATCTGGTTCTCTTTCCATTATTAAGTGTTAAAGAAGATTCCCTTCCATATCGTTCTGAATAATTTTTCCAGATTGGGATGATGGGCTTGATATTCACTTACATTTTGTAAGTTTTCCTCATTTTACCTGTGTGTCTTTATATATTCGCTTTTATTATACTATGTGTGGTTTATATATCTTTTACAGATACTGTTAAACACGCTACCACACTGAAAGGTTGTATTTTTACTTTATTTATATATTAAGGACAGAGCATGGAGGCACTAGCAGGAGACAGGCCAGTACATCAGAAGACGTGGAGGAGGACATAGGAGGGCAACAACCCAGCAGCAGGACCACTACCTCCGCCTGTGCAAGGAGGAACAGGAGGAGCACTGCCAGAGCCCTGCAAAATGGCCTCCAGCAGGCCACAAATGTGCATGTGTCTACTCAAACGGTCAGAAACAGACTCCATGAGGGTGGTATGAGGGACCGACGTCCACAGGTGGGGGTTGTGCTTACAGCCCAACACCGTGCAGGACGTTTGGTATTTGCCAGAGAACACCAAGATTGGCAAATTCTCCACTGGTGCCCTGTGCTCTTCACAAATGAAAGCAGGTTCACACTGAGCACATGTGACAGACGTGACAGAGTCTGGAGACACCGTGGAGAACGTTCTGCTGCCTGCAACATCCTCCAGCATGACCGGTTTGGCAGTGGGTCAGTAATGGTGTGGGGGTGGCATTTCTTTCAGTGGCCGCACAGCCATCCATGTGCTCGCCAGAGGTAGCCTGACTGCCATTAGGTACAGAGATCCTCAGACCCCTTGTGAGACCATATGCTGGTGCGGTTGGCCCTGGGTTCCTCCTAATGCAAGACAATGCTAGACCTCATGTGGCTGGAGTGTGTCAGCAGTTCCTGCAAAACGAAGGCATTGATGCTATGGACTGGCCCACCCGTTCCCCAGACCTGAATCCAATTGAACACATATGGGACATCATGTCTCGCTCCATCCACCAAACGTCACGTTGCACCACAGACTGTCCAGGAGTTGGCAGATGCTTTAGTCCAGGTCTGGGAGGAGATCCCTCAGGAGACCATCCGCCATCTCATCAAGAGCACGCACAGGCATTGTAGGGAGGTCATACAGGCACGTGGAGGCCACACACACTACTAAGCCTCATTTTGACTTGTTTTAAGGACATTACATCAAAGTTGGATGAGCCTGTAGTGTGTTTTTCCACTTTAATTTTGAGTGTGACTCCAAATCCAGACCTACATGGGTTGAAAAATTTGATTTCCATTTTTTAATTTTTGTGTGATTTTGTTTTCAGCACATTCAACTATGTAAAGAACAAAGTATTTCAGAAGAATATTTAATTTATTCAGATCTAGGATGTGTTATTTTTGTGTTCCCTTTATTTTTTTGAGCAGTGTATATATATATATATATATATATATATACCCCACAAAATATTAAATTAAATGTATGTACCCCAAACAGATGGTCAGTGTTCACAGCATGCCGGGGCAAGTGCCATGAGCATGCAGAGCACCAAGAGCCTGGGGGGCAAACCGCATTTGTTTCATTTAGTTGCCTAGGTAACTGATTAGGTGCACCGGTCAAATACAGGTCTGGACCATGTCCGCAATCGATGACTCTCACCATCCTCAGCCATGCTCCGAAGACCAATACCGGGGGAATGTTAGGTGTTGTGCTATGAAGAGAAATAGAGGAAATACCCAAGTAGCAATTTACCGTGCACTTTTTGTTTTTGCTATTTCTCATTTATTTTCATTCAATTTTCATTGCCGTTTATGTTTAGCATTATTTTTTCACTTTTCTCACGTCCATCATTTCTCTTTGCCTCCTTTGCATTGTACCTCTTTAGATAGGGCAAACATTATACATTCAAAGGGTTGTCATACCTTACCTTACCTATAAGTCTTGATTGACCACCAGGGAATCCCTTTGTAACCATGTTTTTGATTATGCCTTGTTATTTGACTTTGGAGCTGCTGACCTGTTTTGTTTTTTTTTTACAACTGTTGCAAAACCGTATCTGATTCTAGGTATTCATTCTCCTAAATTTTGTTAACTGTATCTGAACAGTTACTTTCATATCTAGATATTTGGAGTAATTGTGGGTGTCCACTATAGCCATAAGGAGTGAAACTAAATCCTGAAAAGATGCTAAAATGTAACTTTTAATATGTTAACAGAATAAAAAAGGTTTGTGCCACCATTAAAATCATGTAATTCTGTGCTTGAAAAAAGAAAGCAAGCACTTATAGGTGTAATAAAATCTTCAGTACAACAATATGATGAACAATCTGAGAATTTACATATAGGAGGCACTATATTTATAACATAAAATGATGGAGTCAAACAGTGCCCACTAGTGGTTAATTTGACGTAGGTATGTCTAGTTCCCCATAGTAAATGACAAAAAATAAATAAAAAGAAAACCAATACAGGATCTCTAGTGGACCATCAACTGAACTGTACAATGGACCGTTTGAAAAAAGTAATAACAATGTTGGTATCAACCCAATTGGGCTGAGCGCCTAATAAAATATCAGAGACTATTTGAAACTAAAAAGTGATTATTCAAAAATGGACCGGTCCACTAGTGTTGAATATTGTCTGGTAGCCTAAAGTAGGGAGAACCTAATATTAAATTCTTACTGCAGCTTAAATAGATATTGTTGCCAAATTAACAGAAATTCTGAGGCAGGTTTGCAAAGTTTTTGCAGTAAGGTAGGAAAAAAGTTTGGAGGGAAGCTACAAATTCTATGATTTCAATTATCTGCTAGCTAAAAGTCCCACTGTGCCTTCGAGGGCACCCTTTACCCCAAAATCCTAATAACTCTAAGTCCACCCAACCAAATATAATTACTGGTAGATGATGGTTAAAAGCATAATACTGAAACCATCATATACAATACGATGGCTGAATTAGTCTAATACAGTCACAGAATCGTTCTGTGAGGAAGAAGGCTCTCCCACGGTAAGGAGGCTATGTCTGAATGCTGAACAATGCAATAACCCACAGAAGATGGCCGAGACATTTTTTTGCAAATGGAACTTTGATTCGAATTTACTACATCGGTCACTTGTAATATTGTTTCACACCTACAACACTTGTTACACAGATCTAAGTGATAGAAAACAGATTGATATTTTCTGCTCTAGAAACTACCAGATAACAAGCTGCTTATTTAAACCAGTGATCAATAGCTAAGAGGTACTTCAACAATATTGTAATTCTGGGGCAATACCCTTACAAGTCAAACTGAGGTCAGTTTATAGGGAAAACTGTTGCCTGGAGGAAATTCTAAAACAATTTCCATATGTCCTTTGCAGACTTTACATGCTGGAAAAACACAGGTGCCAACTGCTTTGACTTTCTGCAGTGTGCATGCCGGCAAGGAGGGCAGGGTTTAGGAGTGGGTGGAAGATGATATGGAGGATGATGAGTTCCTAGACCCCACATGGAATCAAGGTCATGTGAGTGACGTGTGCAGTTTGGAGGAAGAGGTGCTGGTCGCACAGAGGCACCAGCACAGCATAAGAGGGAGCAGGGTGCAAAAGCGGAGCGGTCGTCCCCTAGTACTCGTCGGCATGTATTAGCTTGAGAATTACCAGTTATCCAAGTAATACATGTAGCGATCAAAGGATCCATAATAGACTTGAGCGAACCAGAACTGCAAAGTTCGGGTTCGTACCAGATTTAACGATCCATTCGTAGTTTCACAGTGAGGTGGGCAGTGCGGTGACCAGGACCCAGACACTGTCAGAATGTGACATTCACTGTAGCGGCTGTGTGCGCTTTTGGCGTTGTCACCATGCTGCTGCTCGCCTGTTTGTGCTGCAGTGTAACTTCGGCCTTCCCGCTCACCGCCTCATGAGACTTTGCGAGCAGCAGCAGGCGATAGTGGAGTTTCAGCTGCAGCACGCACGGGTCCGTGGCTCTGCACCAGACTTCCCTCCAATTGCTCAGAGTTAAAGGATTTCAAGTGGACTCAGTACAATTACAGGGCCTCTAAAGAGTCCTGTATTGTTATTTGTCGTAACTACCTTCCCGCGTTGGGAGTGTATCATTTGCACGCCTGCTGTCTTCCTTGCATGTGGTAGCCATTTCTCAGGGTCCCTGTACAGAATGGAACCCTGATTCCCCGTTACCCGTGGTCACCATGGTAGGCGCAGAAACTGGCATCGAAAGTTGATATGGATGACGTCCGCATTGAAAGTCGCCGCCACGGGGATGTGCGATTTGCCCGAGTTTCTCTAGAGTTAACAAAGTTCCTGCGCAACTATAATGTCAACAGCTACTCTGCGGAACAGAGTTGTCATTTTTATATCTCCCAATATTTGGGGGCTACCCCAATTAAAATATATATATATATATATATATATATATATATATATAAACAGTGTTGGCTACCTCATCCTCCTCCTCCACGGTCACAGCCTCCTCAACCTCAAACTAGGTACACATTAGCAGAGACTTGTGAAGGCCTTTTCTCCATGCATCAGGAGTTGAGCATTTCTTCATGCATCAGGACTGCAAGAAATGCACCACAGGCTGCAAATGTTTAATTTGTTGTATGTCCCAATATTTTGTGGGCTACCACAATAAAAAAACAAAACAAAACTAAAATACAGTGTTGGCTACCTCATCCTCCTCCTCCACCACCACGGTCACTGCCTCCTCAACCTAGGGGTCAATTAGTATAAACTAGGTACACATTAGCAGAGGCTTGTGAAGGCCTTTTCTCCATGCATCAGGAGTTGAGCATTTCTTCATGCATCAGGACTGCAAGAAATGCACCACAGGCCGCAAATGTTCCTTTTTTTATATGTCCCAATATTTTGGGGGCTTCCCCCAATTAAAATAAAATATATATATATATATATATATAAAAAAGTCCATTATGATTCAAGAAGCCCTCTAGTGTCTGTCTGGTAGAAAGCCACTGAGGGCAGACTTAGAAATGCAATGTAAACATTGCAGTACTAGGTGCAAAAGGGACACAGCACCCGGACCACTTCAATGAGCTGAAGTGGTCTGGGTGCCTACAGTGTCCAATTAATAGTGACTAACAGAAACAAGCATTAAGAATGTTTATGATGTCCTTAGAGCTCAATTAGGAGTTAAATCACTTTTGTTTATATTTATGTAGCCCTTGCCACATGTCCCCTGACTGTGACTGACACTGCCTGCATGAAATTATTATTATTATTATTTTATCAGGTGTCTTATTACTTGAGAAGTTTTCTTATCTCCTTCTCTGTAAATTGAACTTTAATCACACACAAGAGACTCCTGCTGGCTCTAACAGGCTATTACCAGAGCAGAAGATGAGAAATACAAAATCAGACTGTGCAATAAATGAAGTTTAACCCCTTAAGGACACATGACATGTGTGACATGTCATGATTCCATTTTATTCCAGAAGTTTGGTCCTTAAGGGGTTAAACATCTGATCTCTCTTGAAAGGAAGTCTTTGCGAAAGCTGTGTGTGTTACATGCATGAAGGTGTGACTATGGCTGTATGAACAACTAGGACTGTATAAATTCAACTCCCAAAAGCCAGAGAATGAGCAGTCAAACTGCAAAGGCATGATCTATACATTAAAACTGATTCACATGGCTAAATTGTTTTGGTGCCTATAGTGTCCCTTTAAATACATACTTAATTTCTTGTTAATAATTTGACATAGTATTTAGAATGATACATAATAAAACAAGGGCAGGATTAAGATACTAGAGGATTTTGATGCTGTGAATGGTATGCAAATGATTGAACACATTTTTATATTTAATTTAAAGAGACTTTAACCCCTTAAGGACACATGACATGTGTGACATGTCATGATTCCCTTTTATTCCAGAAGTTTGATCCCTAAGGGTTTAAAAAAAACTATTTATCCATATATGTTTTTAACAGTGGTGTTCTTAAATGGTATTTTAAATATTTGTTTACCAAAATATATATAACAAAATGACTAACAAAAATTATAGATGCAACATGTGAGCAAGCACAAATGTTCATTGAGAACAATTTAAAGATTAATGATATCAGTGGATTATGTAAATTTGAAGATCTGATTGTTTTATTAAATTTATTAAAAGTTCACCTTAAGATTTTCTTTATACGTTTTGCACTTGTATTTGCATAGATTGCATTTTACATTTTTATATCACTGAAATATGAGAAGTTTGAACAGAGGCAATGATCAGTTGTTTAAAAGAATCTCTTTATAAAGTAAAACACATGATAATTTCTAATCGTTACGAAACCTCTTTAATGGCATTTTTAATATGCCACTTTGAAATGTACAATTATAATTTAATAGACAAGAAAGTGTCAGAAGCCAGAACATTTTAAAAGCAAGTCATTCATATTAAGTGGTATGAAAAGCTTATTATATTTTAAAGTTTTCATGTATTGAGGAGGACTGTTGAGAAATGTCAGCACTCTAGAAATAAAAGTTAACAAAAAACCTATGTATGTGTCTTTCTCTCTCTAGATTTATCTGTCTCTTTTTCTGTCTGCCTGTCTATCTACCCACCTACCTATTTTTTAAAAAAAAAATTTTTTTTACTGTTTTGGTGGGCACTGGAGAAAATAATTCAAATGTAATAAGGAATATTCAGATTTCAAAAACCCTACAGGTTGTTTGACATTTTCCATTTACTGGGTTTTTACTTGTTAAAGCACATCATACTATTTGTAACTGTATTATCCAATGCTGTGTTTTATTCTGATATAAATGTAGCTGGTTCCCCAGATTTTTCTGTTATATACATATTAGTGGTTCAGTGGCATGATCATTGTCTTGATATTAAAATGTAATAATTGACAAACGGAGGAGACCGCACTCACATTTTGGAATCCAGGTGCTAATGAGGGATGGGGTTGGGAAAACCCAGTTTAGTAGATCAAATAAATTAGGTCCAGGCACTCAGGATTGCTGCAGTAAGGCAGGTTTATTGGAATAAAAAGTGCAACGTTTCGGCTTACACAGAGGCCTTTATCTACTAAACTGGGTATTAAAATGTGTCTGGGTATGTTGAGGATTCTGAATGCAAATATTCAGTTGTATTAAGGCATTCACATGTTACCGCTGATGGAACAAAACAATCCATATACATTCACTGAGTGCAAGTTGTGCAGAAAAAATCCTCCTATCTGCAATTAGCTAGGTATGGTTTGAAAACTGATAAAATCTTATTCTAGTTATAGCAAGCATATTTTATACCGTGCTGATTTTCTAAAACAAATAACATATTGTAAGTATAAAATCATTAGCACTGCAAATAGTGTTATGTTCTATATTTGTAACAATGTTTGCTGTAATTGGTTGCGTAGATATATTTTACAATAGTAAACAACCATTTTTTTTTTTCCTTTCATTATATTTCTTGACAGTATCCATGGTGCTTATTGACTAATCCTTCTCATTTTATGAACTTCCACTACACTCAAATAGTGTGTTGATTGAAAAAAAAAATCTTTATTAATATGTGCTAAAAATATGCATTCACGCGTTGTTTTGCACAGGAAACACATTATCTTCATGTTCACCACAGTATAGCATCGATATTACAAATAATCATTCAAGTAACGCCTCAAAACATATAAAGAAAAGTAAATATCAATACAAATGTATTAAGATGTGCCTCACTGCTTCTTGGCTAGATGAATACATCCCTTAGCTTCCTAACATGATAGAGTAATAGATTATTTTCATGGAAAAACATGATCATGCTACTTCTTTTAAGCAGAGTAATGCTAAAATCTAAAAACGATTAAGACATTGGAGATAATGTTTCGGGTCACTGATGCGTGATGTCACATTGCCTCATTGTCTCCATACACATGTAGGGCCGGATTCACTTAGCAGTAAATATTTATTGCTGCTTATGGAATAGCAGTTTTCCTGAAGACTTCAAAGGGGAATTGTTATACAGTAAGCAGAGCAAACCTTTACTGTGCTAAAATAATCCAACCTGTAGAATGGAAGAGATAGCGTGGGTAGTAGTAGTGGGTCAATAACAGCAGGCTGCTGTATCATTAGGGTAAGTGGCATTGCTACCGGCATTTCTACAGTGCAAACAAATTCCTCAGCATTATACAGTAGTGGAAAGTGACAGTACCATATACACAGGCTAATAGAAGTGATAAAAAAGAACCTTGTCTGTGAACTGAGCTCTAACAATGAAAAGCTCTTTCATACAATGTACTTAGTCAGAAAGCCTACAAGCTTACTATCTAAAGGTTATGATGGGTAGTTGAGACAAGAAGTAGCAGCGGAATTTGATGGTAAAGGTCAGAGAGAATTAATGGATAATTACAGCCATTGTTAAGATTAAAGGAAAAGAAGAGGTAGATGAGCAAGATATCAAATATCAGAGAAGAATACTATAAAGTAGGCTCAAAACAGGTTGGGTGATATAGCTTTCTCTTTTTTTCTCTTTAGTGTCATTGATTGTTAACTGAATGTTAAATACATGCAAGTTTTCATTTGAAATATAACTACTAAACAGTGATTTTTTGTAAATGTATTTTGTATTTGGAAAGTGGAGTGTCCCTTTAATACCATGTTTTCACCTGACTCCATAATAAACTACTTTCCTTTTCTAGACAAATATATGTGCTTAAAGTTGCTTCTTACATTTGTAAGTTGGTTTGCAGACTGTGCTAATAAAAAGTAGATATTTTTTTTTTTCTGACTTCCAAGTGTTACTCATTCTCTCTAGACCAAAGGTGTCACTATGGGGGACAAAGGGGGAAATTGCCCTCACCCTGGTTTGCCCCCCGCCCCCCACTGATCTTAATGTGAGTTCGGGAGATGAGAGATCTCAATCACCAGCCAGGCTGCATCGATGCCAAGCAGAAGGTGGAAGAACTTGATCTCCCTTCTTCTACTGTTTAAATGCATTGACCTGCATTAATCGGCATCGCTCTGATACACGCATCTGTGTCGACTGGAAGGAGCTACAGTGGGGATGCAGATAAGCATGTTTTTGCACCAGATCACCAGGGATTCTCAACTCAGTATTCAAAGGTACGGCTCAGGGAAGGGGAATAACAAAATTTTAAATGGATTTTTTTAACATTTATTTATAAAATTATCCCCTAATTACTGCCCCATCACAGCTCCTGCCCACAAAATCTGCCCCTATCCCCATCCTGCTATACCAACTACAGCCACTATTACCACATGCACCCACTACATATCCGATTACCCCCTGCACATACCCCCTGCACATGCAGTCACTACAGCCCCTAACCATGCACCCTATTTAGACCCCATATCCCCCTGAACCACTAAATCCTCTATCTCCCCCACAGCCACCATATTACCACCTGCACCCACCACAGTCCCTATCCCCATGCATCCACTACAGCTCGTATTACCCTATGCACCCATATTAACCACTGTACTAACCTTTTTTGGCCCTATCCCCCTTGTA